CTAGGCACAGAGACTTCTAAACAGAAAGAAGTCAACCCTTTGTCATTACAGAACAGCAAAAATTGAAATGCACAAGCACAGATCAGCACAAATTAGAAGTCTTGCCATGTCAAGGGGCAGCCTTGCACAGTGAAGAAATCTTGCTGCCTGCTAAAGAGCTCCAGAAAAAGACAGTCACTTGTAGCAAAATACACGAAGGAGCCACCTTTACCAAAAAACCCTGATGCTGGGTGATCATGCCCTGAAGTAATTTCACCCATCCCCATGGAGGGTTGCAACAAATCACTGATAAAGATCCTGCAAACCTGATCAAAGACATTGCCTGCCTACAGGACAGCACTCCATGATAACAAAGGCTGTCTGCCACAAGAGCACAGGTACTTCAGAGGAGGCTGTATCAAACCCACAGCACATCTTGAATGCCTGAAGCAGAAAGAGCTGGGAGAAACCCAGAGGATTATTTACAGATCACCCCACTGCCCATCAGTAGGTTTAGGACAGGAATAAACTACATAGCCAAACCTGCTGGTGGGGCTGCAGCCACCACGCCCAAAGGTGTTACAGACACATCAAAGCAGCAGGTAGGAAAAAAAAAAAAATCAGCCAGCAAGGTCAGGACTTTCAATTCTGTCATTAGCAGCAACTCTAAACCATCATGCAGCCAGATTATGCATATACAGCTGCTTATATGCCAGTTCTGCAGTCCCACAAGAGCATCACAGCACAGTCCTGCGCAAGCATGTTCTGTAAGTGGGGTGTGTGGCCTTGTTTAGGGAAGAAAGGTTTGTGCAATCAGTCTAACTCACTCCCCCTGAACTTTTGGATCAGTTGCACAACTTTAGCCAAATTTGGCACTAGGGCTGAGTTTTCACAGGTTCTGTGGAAAAAAGGGAGCTTAGCAGGAGAGAGAGAGGGCCATGCAAATTATATCCCCACGGACAGGAACATGATCTGAGCCTGCAGGACATCAATGCAAATCCACAAGGATTCTCTGGTGTTTGTCCTACAACAACCTGGGCTTCATAGACTCCTCTGGTCACAAAACTTGTTTTCCCATGATTTTATGGGAACTACATTCAACTTCAGCCAACACAATACCTTACTTACATTCCTTTGCTATGCAGGTAATTGCCCCAGTGATGCTGTAGGATTATGAACAGAAGGAGAAATGGGGCCAAGGGGTATAACTGAGGGAGAAGTACCACTAATCTTTCTTTCCACAAAGGAGTGACTCAAGCTATGAAAACCCAGTGAGCCCCATAAGCAAAGAGCATCCTGCTGCAGCAATTAATCCAAGATCAAGGTTTCTATTTCAGCATGAAAGTGTAATA